GAGCTGCCCTTAGCCGAGCCGAGTGCCACTTGGTTTCCTATTGTTTTGTACAAAGTACTCGGCACAGCCACTCAACCAGCAGACCCGCCGCCCGGCGCCGATGTCTTGTAAGCGCAATCATTATACCAGCCAGACGCTCAGCCTGTCGGCAATACCACACTCACATTCGACTAGTTTCTTCGTTTGCTTCTCCGGTTTCAAGTGTGCATATTTTCATGGCGTTCGTGAATTACAACAAGACGTAGACACCATTCAAAGAGGGCGACGGCTAAACTTTGTTGTAACAGCGAATTCCGACCGACTCTGGCCTTTCCTCTGCCGCCGAAACGATCTGCCAAAGTAGGAAAAAGTGTAAAATTGAAGTTAAATGATATCCGCGGTCGAGTGGTGCACTTTGACAAAGAGAGCGCAAAAGTTTGGTCCGAGGCAGTGGTGCGGCGTTGCCGTCATAATGAAATTAGAATAGCTATTAAACTTTGTTGTAAATTAGCAACGCATCTTTGGCCGGGTATAAAAGGCTCATTTTCCCGGGTCTCGCTCTCGGGATTCTCGGACCGGATAGACTGGCGGGGCTACAGGTTCGTTATTCGGATTATTGCATCAGTTAGCATTCCGGCTTGTCTGCTGTAGGGCCGCGGGGCTGCGCGTCGAGGGATTCGCGTGGCGGCGGCCCGCTGGATTAGGAAGCCGCGGCGGCGCAGCGATTTGTTATTCAAAATTCGCGGAAAGTCGCGCGCCCTTCCGGTTAGCTGCGAATGTAATTTCCGGCCTTGCCTCCAGTGGCGGGCTGCCGCCGCTTCCTTGCTATATCTTTGTCCCGCGCAGCGCTGCTATCTTGGCTCCAATTTTCATTCGCGCTACGTACACCGCGCGCAGTATCGCTTGGCCGTGGCGCCGCCGTGCACCTGGCCGCCAGAGGGACTTGTTTTGACGGGCTTATACAAAACGTGTTTAGAAAGCGCGATATCTCGGGGCTCCGACGAACTTGGCCCCCTACTCGGCCGCCGTTAGTCTAGACATTTTCGAACGGGCGCAGAAGTTTAGGGTGCCGTGCTCCTATGCCGCGTCGAAACCCAAGCGCTCCGCGTGCCGCCGCCAAGCGAACAAGTCAATTTCCGCGAGTTGCCGCGAAAAAAGCGCGTTAACGAGTTCGACAGCGCGCAAAAAGCGTCGCCTGCAAAACTTGCCGCGCCCTAACGTCGCGTACGCGCCACCTGTCAATTGCATTTGTACGCGCGACTCGTAACATCATTACCGCCGGTCGCGCTCCCCGCCGGGGGATCTTCGCCTGCATTGTGCGTTACAAGCGCTATAACTGCCGACGAATTCTCGTTACAGCCCCTTTCACGACCGTCACGTGCTTTTTCTACGCGCGGCGCCCGACCGGAGCGCGAATTCCATGGCGCGGAAGAGCCTTGCACTTGATGGGCGCGCCGCGCCACCGAGAAAAAGGAAATGCTTCAACGCAACCGGATTTAAATGAATACCGCAGTAATCCGCTTGATAGTGCAAGATTGCGGAATAGGCAATTGAATTAGCAGGGGAAGCGGCAGAAAAAAATCAGTAATCCCGCTGAGAGCGCAAGAAAGTAAGCCGCAAGCCGCGCTTAATCGCGAAGATAAGCCACGGCGCTCGGTCGGAATAACAGAGAGTACGGGGACTCCGCGCGCGCGGGCGTGTGCCTGCGCGTAACTAACGTCTTGGCGGGAGGTGCTACGGCGAATTCCGCGAGCGAGCAAAGTCGCGACCGTCGCACAATGGTCGGAGTAATCTCGTGTCGCGAGAGCGGGGCTTTCTCCGCGCCTTGCCTTAATACTCCCGTGCGGGCGGGCTGGCCCTACACGTGTATTTACATATGGAACGAGCGGACGCCTTTGGAGCCCAGCCAACCTGTTAGGTTAACTAGCCCGGCCGCTCCGCTCGACTCGCTCGCGCACAGCCGCCGAGCAAGTTTAAAGTGCACAGAGGCAACGGATAATCCGTCTGGAAATTGGTTTGCGCTAGCTCGTTCGCGAAAGAATGGATATTCAGCGCGCCAAGCCCTCCGGGCGACGAGTGTCGGGTGCGCGCGCGGCAGTCGGCGTGGATCAAAGGATGCAATTTAGCTTGGCTATCAACCGCTTATCAAGCCATATCCAGTGTCATTTTTCGGCGCCCAGCCCGCTCGCCCCCTAATTTATCGAAACTACCGCTTGCCGAGCTTCGCAATTCGGCCGCGAGCGTCTCCCGCAGTCGCATTCATCCAAGATCATCTTCCATTGCAATCTCACTGCCAATGACCGCTTAATTTCCCGGCCGATTCTACATTCGAGTGGCTGCGACGATGCTTCAAATTCTCCAAATTTCCTAACTCACTCGGTTCGCTCGGCCGATCTTCGATTCCCTCCTTCCCTCCCCCCCCCCCCCCCCCCTCTCTCTCTCATGCTCGCTGTTGACCACCGTCGAAGTTACTCGTGCGCGTATAGGATGCCGCTGCTAAACCGCGCATAAAATAGAAATTCGAGGAATTTCTATTTTATGCGCGCACGCAAATATCTGATGACTCGATGGGACTATTATCCCCCACGCACGCGACGCTTTCATTCAACAATCGTTGGTTATTAATTTGGGAAAATTGGATTTGCTCGGTGGAAAGTATAGCTTGGACCGAAATACTGGAAAAGCTTTGTTTGTTTTCATTTTAAAAATTGATTGAATAAATACGAGACAACTGAGAGCTCACCAACATTTCGCGTAACTGACTATTCGAATTACAATTTACTTTTGCTTTTGCGCAATGTATGGGACTTTGCAAACACAACGTTTGTTTCAATTTCATTTCTTGAATTACAATGATGGAGTAAACAATACATTTTAAATATCGATCTTTGGATTGCCATGAAATTAAAAAAAAATGACAAGCCTTTGATGGCGAAGTGGAAATATCGAATACATCAGCTGAATTATTGAAATGTGTCGTGTTTCTATCTGTAAATAAAGCTCAATATTACGATATTGCTAATCATTAAGAGAACTTCACTAACGTTATTTTTCATTGCAATAGTCAAGAGAAATTTTGTTGAAGCACCGCGCGCACAGTATTCAAAGCCTTAATCGCGCCAATTACGCCAGGGAGCAGATAGAACTTGTGGCCGGGCGGGCGCCCTTACGAAGTAATAATAGCTTCATTGAAACTCGCGGGTAGCTGCTGTGTGTGCGCCGGGCGAAATCAAGCGTGATTATGCGGCGTAAACGCGTGCAGCGCGCACAATCGATTTGTCTCGTGCTCTCGCGCTCCGAACCCGCATTCACTCCGACAGACGACAGCGGCGACGTCGCCGTCCCTGGCAAGACAGCCAAAGCCTCCCTTCCAGTCTTCACGCTTCGCGAGCTCTCGCGGCTACTGTCTTCACCACGTTGAAACGCTTTCATCGCTGCGAATACTCTTTTTTTTGCATCGCAATGCTGCGACATGAAGACAGACGTGTATCAATTCGTGATAAAACAGTTTATTTATAATTTTCATCGACTATATATTTCGTTTTTAACCCCCTTTTTTTTGAAAGATAGTCAAATCAATGACGTTAGGATTTAGATAATTGTACCCGGAACGCGGCTAATTATCGGTGCACAGGTATTACGTGGCAAATTCTGCTTTACAAATCAACGTTCAAATCCAAACCCGAATCAATCGCCAGTCACGCAGCACGAGTGAAAGGCAAACAGGTCGAGAGAATACAGGTTTCGACGAGTTGTCAAGCAAACGCATAAAACGCGGGCGCGCCAGTGATGAAGTGTCGAGCGGCGGTCCTGCGCCAGCTGAAAAACGCGCGCGCGCCCGGACGAGCGGCAAATTCAATCGAATTAAGCCTCGGCCGCAAATCAATTGCCGGCGAAATTGGTGAAAGCAAGCGGTTGAGCGGGTTAAGCGGATGGATTTGTCCGGGCCGCAATTATTATCAGCGTGTCGTGCGACTGCACTTGTAAATCCACTTGCTTTCTCGCTTTCCCGGCGCGGCTACGGCCACGCGTTTGTGGCCCCCTCCCCTCGCTTTCGCTGTTTCATTTCTTTGTATTTCGTCTGCACTCTGCATAGGCCCCGCACGCTCAATAATTGAACTGTGAATCGGCTAGATTTCTGAAAAGGATCTCATTCCCATGGTCTTTGTAAACGCATTACCGACGAATCGTAAAGTACGCGACATTTTCATGCAGATATCCAAAACATTAAAAAAAAGTCATTCAGCAAAACGAATGGTTTTAAATATAAGCCGTTGAAACGAGGTAAGCTGCATTATAAACGCATAAATTGTCGGAGTATCCTTCATCGTATAGAAATAGAAATAATTTTGCCGCAAAGTCGGCAAAAACGCGCGGATTATCACTAGTTCATGGATAGCCATGCACGACCCCTTTATAGAGTCGTCGACAATGCAGCGAAATGCATTAATAAAAATGGACCGATAAAAGACGACGCGCTGTCCTGTATGCCCGCTGCAGAATGTCGGGCAATAGTAAGAAGGCGCGGGCGTCACGCGCGCGGAGGTCATCCGGGACAGCAGCTCGCTCGGCACGCGCGCGTCTCCCGGAAAATTATGAGGCACATCTCGTCGCCCGCGCGAGCTGCTCCTCTTTCTTAGCCGCGCGCGCTGCATTGTCGACGCTGCGGGCGAGCGGCGAATAATGAATTATTCCATTGGGCAGACGTGCGGCCTTTGAACGTGGAGAAGCGCGCCGCGATAAAGTAGGAATCGCGTCGACGGCTGCACGCGTCCTCGTATGCATATTTGAAATTGAATGCTGGCCACTCTGCGGCGCGCTGCTCTGCGGAGTCCGCGCGCCTCCTGCGTATATCCACGCTTGGCCCGCGCGTCAAGGGGGACACCGTGCTGCACATACACAGCCGATACTCCGCCGCGCGTTCGCGTTTCAATTGCAGGTACAAATGAGTAAATTGCCGCGCGCTGCTCTGCTCTAATTTTAATCTCCTTTCCACTTTGCTCTCTCTCCGTTTGTTTTAGTTGGAGCCATGTACGTCTGCATGCTCTACGCAATACTCTTTCTCAAGTTGTGGTCGTACGTGCAGGTCAACACGTGGTGTCGCCTCAGCGCCAAGAGCAAAAACTGCTCGCTCGGTCGGATGCGCAGGCAGTCTCTCAGTTACACCGATTTGCATGGTAAGTATATCAACATTTTTTTTCTTTCTTTTCGCTTTCGACCCGCGCACGCTCCATATTTATGGGACATTGAAACGCTGCACTGTTGCCGCTGCTGCTGTTGCGTAAACAATTCCGAAAGTCACCGTGGATATCGAGCGGCGTGCGGCTGAAAAAAAATATAGAAAAGAAACAATTTTTTTTTTTTTTCACCGTGACTTTTTGGGGGTGATCCATGTAAAAATAGTCGTGAAAAGTACGTGACGTACAATACGGCATGCGAATTCAAAGAGCGAAGCCTAGGGCCGCGCGGGCTGCAAAGTGAAAAACAACGGCTCAGGCAATGGAAATTCAAGCAGCGACAGGTACAAAAGTATGGTCGGCCGATGTGTTTCTGTGGTGCGCCGGGCATGGAGCTTTTGAGGTCCCCGACTAGATAATTTCCAGCCAATTTGCTCGGCGATTCGGTCCACCTCCATTTCCGGCAATTGCTCAACGCGCGCGCACAGCCACACAGAGGCTATCGATTATTCGACACGCGCCTCGCGCCCAAGTCAAATTACGGATTGACTTTACAACCGATGAACTAGCAGCAGCGCTATCATTGACTCGGCTTCCCCCTCGCTTCCCGATACATCCTGCAAATTCTTCCTTTATAAACCGCACAGCGGCTGCTTTGATGTTTCGCTCGGATAATGGGTGGCGCACTCGATGTTCTCCTTTCCTCATTATCCTATCCAACGCGAATATACGTGACGATCGCTCATACGTATCTCGATTATTCGCGTCTGCATGCTGAACCTTTCTCTTTTTAGCGTTGCGCATTTCAAGTACATTTTAATATCAATTCTTTGCTCTCTTCAACCGAAGGGTTTCGCGCGCGCTTTTTTCGGCACTTGTTATTTTACATTTTTAACGTTAAACAATTCGATTGATATCGCTGTCGTCTTTGTCACAAGTATCAAGCCACCAAGCAATAGAGCATTGAACAACTGACGCACGAGGCAGCTATTTACTAGTTTCAGAAGTCTTTACAGCAACTGAAATAAATAACTGAATGAAACATAGCTAAGTGCACTCGAACGAATAAAATAGGCGAACTGGCAAGTAAGAGCGAAAGTAAAAAGAAAACTGTTGGTGCTTCCGTGAGGCCAAGCGATTATACTTCCATAAAGCAACTGGCGCTCGACTGCTCAATTTCGCAGCTGCGCCCTCGCTTTCTTACAAATTTCAATAAGCAATCTCGCGCTCTCTGGCGCTCTCTCTCTCTCTCTCTCTCTCTCTCTCTCTCGTAATATCAGCTCTTTCCGGAGAGACGCGCGCGTTCGTACAGGCTCGCTCAAACAAACTTGGCCGTCTACTCGGACACGGCTGGCATAAGGCTATCCAAAGAGAGCCTCGCGTGCCGCCCGGCCATTCGGCCGTACCTCCGTTGCAACACAGCTATAAGTTTCTCAAAATCCTCCTCGTGTTCGCGTTACGCTCGAACGTTTGCTTTTTAATGGCGCTCCTTTCTGCATTTTTCCTTTTTTTCCTCTTCTCTCTCGCTCTTCTTCGCCTTGCGATCTAATTTGACGAGTTTTCGCCGAGATCCTGATTCGGTTTCCAGTTCGGGGTGAAATATGAGCTATGGAAAATTTAGCATGCCTAAACAGTGCTAGTTGATCGAGTGCTAAACGCATACTTGCGGTTCTCGCGCTCAGTTTACGGCGGATCACGTGTCGTGCTGTAACGGAGGACTTTCATTAGTTAACACTAGGAAGTGCATGCAGCGAGCAAACCTTCTTTAAAAAAACGGTCGGTTTTTAAAAAGTATCCGTGTACGCTTTCGTTGCTAATTGTGCACCATTGGTTCGACAATCTACTCGAAAGTAGAGGAAACTCAAGCCATAGAGAATTTTCCCCGTTGATATGACGAATAAGATAATTTTATCTAAGACGTCAACTTTAACGTCGTACGTACAAACAGTCGCTTGCTTGCTCGTCTCTTTGTGGCACATCCTCTCTCTCTCACTCGAACTACAGAGGCAGACAAAGACAGGGATAGAAACAGAGGTAAAGGCAAATTCCAGACGTTGACGAAGCTCGACAGGTATAACTGTAGTACGCCAGAAGTCACGGCGCCCATCTTGATGTGTGCTCCCGGAACAATATCGCGTATACGCGAGCTCGTAAGCAGATTTCTTATATTTCCTTCTTTTCATTTCGCACCACTCTCCCCTAAGATTCCCCTTCCCTTACTCTCTCTCGCTCTCGCGCTTGTTCACTGGCTTGAGATTAAACGGAATATCCGCGCTTTATTGGACACGCGCGCTCGTTCGCCTACGTCAAAGATTTTTGTATTTACTCTGCTCGCTATGTTTGCTCGCTTCGGGAGATAGAGAGAAATTAATTTATCGCCCGGCGCTCTGTTGACGAAACCACTTTTTGGCAATCTTCTCGACGGATGAAGTAGGATTTGGCTCTCTTCTGCTCTCTAACTCTCCGAGTCTGTGCCTGCGTCTGTGTGTTGCTAGACTTTAGTGCAGTTTACACGCGTTATCCGAAACACGAGAAAAAGAGCTCAGTTTTCTCGCATTATTTTCCCAAAATTATTCGTCTCGCCCCTTGATAAAAAGCTTTAGGCAACAATGAGATAAGAAAGACTCCGCGGTTGCACGACAATGAAAATGTCGAGAAGATGTAGTGGATTAAATGAATGTCTGACCTATTCAAGTCTATACTACTTCACAGATTTTCGCATTCTTCCGTCGACTGTCGGATCATTATTCTTGTATTGAAGATACTGACGTGACTGCGAAAGAGCAACAATTAATCAGAATGATGTGTGAAAAAATGGGCTTATAAGAAATATGACACAAGAGAAAATAAAACGATGAAAGAGAGAGAGAGAGAGAGAGAGAGAGAGAGAGACAGAGTCCAGCGAGAAGCCAAAAACAGAGAAAAGGCGGACGATGCGGACAGAAGAGAGGAATAGTCTTTGGAGTTGGCGAAAGAGGCAGAATTATTTTTCTCTCTGCACCTTGGTCTTCGTTTTTTTCCTCTTTTCTTCTTTTTTTTCAATCACGCCGTCGTCGTAATTCCGCCTTTGTGCCAGTGGATAGCCCAGCACTTAGACTTTTCTTTCTTTCTGTCTTTCTCCCGTTCTCTCTCTTACTCTCTCTCTCTCTCTTCGTATTCCTTTCTCTCATAAATCTTGAAATGAGAGTAGAAAAAGAGAAGGCAAAGCAGATTAACTGTGACACGCGCAATGAGCTCTCGGCTTGGTTAAACGATTGCCGGCAATCTTTGTCGGAGGCCCCCTTTCGAATATCAGTGCCAGCTGTAATCAGCTTTATTCAAATTGGAGCTTGGGAATTTCCGGCTAGTTATTGTCGTTTTCGCGGAGCTCCATTTCGCTCCACTTCTTCATGCCTGCCTGCTTATACACATGTATACACAAATTACTCGCTGCTGCATTAAGTTTCTCATTTCGGACTGCACACTCGTAGAATTTAAAGGAGGATACTTATGAAGCTTAGAGCCCGGTTAAATTACTATTCTGATGCGATTACGACAAACAAGTCGAGTTTCAAATTTGACCGCCCCGCGGCCCCCAACAAAGAACGCTAACAATACTACTTGTTGTTCGCTGATCAATATAAGCTTAGTATTTGGCCACGGGCACGAGCTACACAATTAGCCAAGTCATCATCGAAATGAGAGTCTAATTGGTGCACGAGAGTGAGAAGCAGCAAGAAGTCATCGATATATTCTTTGCGAATTTCAATTATTCAGAGACTCGCTAGGATGTAAAATGGAAGATTGCCAAAGAGAGCTCCGGTCAATCTTGCAGCTGTCGCGCGCGCGTCTCCGTCAATCGCCTGCTACTTTAATTCGTCTCTGGCGAAATTAATTGTAGGCGAAGCAGAGGAGAAAGGGTAGATAATGTTTGCTAAATCGAAATTGGAAACAGCTATATTTCTGTCATATTGCGCCGATAAACTCATTAGCTAACCCGCGTGTCGCAATAGTGATGAACGTAACTGCACAAAATGAGCCAACGGACAATTGTCTGCGAGTTACTTTCATTCGGAAGTTGACGAGTGGCGGAATGGATTGTGCCGCCACGGCTAATTAATTAAAATGCCGCGCGCCTTGGCTATGGCGTATACGCATACGTTTGACACGGGGATGCAAAAGAAAAATACTGACGCGCTAATTAATTAGATACGGACAGACACGGGCGTGTACCTCTCGCTCAATTTCCTCCAGGGGCTGGCTGCATTTTATTTTTCCTGATATGAGTTCGCCGGGAATTTAGCGCGATTGGTGTGCTTTGCGCCGACGCGCGCGAGATTCGCGTTTTATGTCGGTGAAAATTTTTAATTACCGCCGACAAGACCGCAAAAATGCTGCGTCTGAACTCGCGATTGATGTTTATTGAGGGAGGACGGCGACAACAAATTCGACCTATCTTGCGATTGCTCTCGCGTGTATAGAGAATGCGTTGGCTTATCTCAGTCGAAGGCTCGGAAAGACGAATGAAAGTGTCTATCCTCGCTACGAAAGTAACTCGAAACGAAAGGAGAAGGAGACTGCGAGTTTATTTAATTCATAGAACAATGGCTTTCCCTTTATCACCGGGCCAAAGTAATATCTTCCAACGCGATCCTCGTCAAAATTTGAGCAGCAACGACAGTAACAAGCGCTGAAGAACGAGTAGAAAATTTATCTAGAACATACGGTAGAAGCCAGACAGTGTTGCAGGCGTAAGTAAATAATAATAAGAAAAATCGATGCTGTCAGATGGCTTGATATTTCAACTGGTCATGTAGCTACGAATGTGCGCGTGTACGCGCAAGTCTATATCTCTATCCATCTGAAGGCTCTCCTCTATTTTCACAGCCACGGAGGTGAAACAAAACGGTTGTGACTCCGATGAAACGAGACACAAGATAGACGACGACGTCGCCGGCAAAGCTCTCGTGCAATATCCGGACAACCTGAATCTGTCCGACCTCTACTACTACATCCTGGCGCCGACGCTCTGCTATGAATTAAACTTTCCTAGGACCACGAGAATCCGAAAGAGGTAGGTTTCTTTTTTCTACATAGGGCTTTTTTTTCTAATTATGATTCTTTTTTTCTCCGTCGTTACCCTGTTTTTTCTCTCTCATAACGCGTTACACGTACCTCTCGCTCGCTTTTTTACTAGTCAAATTAAATTGTTTGTTATGAAATTTTCGCGTTCGCAGGCCAGTCGAGCACATTAATTAAAGTGCTCGCAAACTTTACTTTCGCCTACTTTCGAGTACTTTGAAAGCTTCGCCAACCATCGCTCATAATTAATTAAGCTTTTCTATTATTTAGCTGCTTTTCGATTCTCTTTTTTCTGGGCTCTCCAAAATTTTTCGTTTTCATAAAGTTCATTACGCGTCACTGCCCCAACTTTGTTCTTTGCTCTTGACTTTTTGGTACTTTTCTCCCTCCCATTTGCGCGATCCATTAATTATTTAAATTGTTTTATTGGTCATGCAAAAATAAATTTGGCCGGATATAATAATCGAACCGAAATTTCACGAATGCCTCGTTTTATCACAGTTTTTCGCGTTACAGCGTGTCGGAACGGGATTTTTATCTAGATTCAAAAAAAAAATAGAAGCCCGTTATCGAAATTTCGATTTCCAAGAAAAGCTCAAAGCGCGGAGTGCCAAGTGCATATTGTAGAGGAAAACCCTGGAAGTATTTGACAGTTTTCATTCGTGGAAAAGCAATTCAGGCAAAAAAATATTGGTTCGGGAGAAAAAGTATTCGGGCTGTAGTATGAGGAAATCCTTTTGAAAGGAACTCATTGTTCGGTGGAATTTATTCAGATATCAATTGTGGATTTCGACCACAAGTGACGACACTAAACTGGTCTGATTGCAATAGTTGGATCTTCCTCCTCCAGCCCAGCAATCTGGGCGTTTGCCTTAAAGGATGACGATGCGGGCTACAACTGGAAGAAGACGCTCGTAAAATTAGATTCAAGTGAGGGAGGCGAATAGCGGAGGGTAGCGAGGACAGTGGTAGAGTGGTGGCAGTGGGAGGGGGGGGGGAGTGATGTATTCCACGGCTTGCTTCCGTTCCCGTTTTGAGCCCCGCTCATACTTCCGGCACGCCGCGTCGACGTGTAAACACACGTACGTATGTAAGTACGTAGTATCTCTCGAGTTTGCTCGGCTAGCCATGTCTAACGCGAAGTAGCGTCGTGCCCCGTGAAATTTCATGGGGGGAGAGCGCCAGTAAGCGAGCGAGTATCCACGTCGATGAATTCCTCCCAATGTAATTTATAACGCCCCGAGCGTCTTGCTTTTGGCTGTGTGTAGGAGACCTCGAAGATAAATCCTCTTTTTTATCACAATGAAACACGCGCCAGTGTTTCGCTCTCGGGATCATATATAAATTATCGTGCGCCTGCCTTTAGCGCCAGCGGGAACTGTTGCAGGAAGGAAGGAATCTTTATCCGCAATAAGTTTCGCATTGAGTGTACGAATAAATTTCTCAGGAGTAAATCGAGAGTGGTTAAACGGGGGCGCGCTCGCGCGGATCAGCTCGGCCTGCGTCTGCTTACGTTCATTCTCTCTCTCTCTCTCTAATATTTTGTGTTTCTTTGCACTGGCTTTCAGGTTTTTAATCAAGCGCATACTCGAGGTGGTCGTCGGCTGCCAGGTGGTGATGTCGCTGTTCCAGCAGTGGATGATTCCCTCGGTGAAGAACTCCCTCATACCTTTCAGCGTAAGTACAGACGGACCTTACAGCGCCTCGCGATGCCTTTTATCCTCCGTATTAAAATTAAAAATGAAGGCGGAGAAGAATAAGACAAGAATGGCGATGTCACAGCTCGCTTTTCACGTTTTCGCCACATTATTCATCCTTTTGAGCACAGCCACGTGGGGGAACAAAGAGAGCGCGACAGTCATAATTTTTAATGAAAGCAAGCCTGATACAGCTCGCTCGAGTATGAGTCTTGACGAGGAATTACCAGCACTATAGGTGAGGTCTGATAGCATCGTAAAAAGGTAACAAGCCTCGGCGCTCGTGTAACATTGATGAGCCGACGACATTCGGAGTTATCCGTAAAAGAATATGTTTTCCTCGTACGCACGACGAGCGGATAAATGAATAATAAAACAGTAAGCGCTCACACACACACACACACACACACACTCTCTCTTCTTCATAGTGATCTGTGTGTGTGCGCGTGTGTGTGTCGAACAATGTAACATAATAAAAAAAGGAAACAAATAGACGAGAACGTAGAGGAACGTGACACTCGGTCGAGTGCACTCGGGAGCGATGGCAATTGGAGGCGCGCGCGGCGACAAATCGAAGCCATCAATCTTTCTCGTTAATGGCCCCTGCGACATACACGAGTATGTGTGCCTCTGTGCGTGTGTGGCTATGTGCGTTCGCCTGTCTATAAGTGTGCACGAGTACAATACCAAGGGGATACCTATCCAGTTGCGCGTAGGCGTCTTGCCACGTTATATGGCCATCGCTCCTCATCTCCGACTCTATTAAAAGACTGCACCCGCCCTGGTCTACGCGCGCCACCGCCTTCTTTTATTTCCTCATTGCGCTTAATCAGCCCTCTAGATGACCATTATTACGTTCTTTCTGGCCAGTCCCCAGCGGCAATGCTACAAAATCTTATTTGAAGATAGAAAAAATATTGGAACAATATCCTAGGTTGACTTGAATATGTATGGTTGTCGTTGGCTCAAGTGAAATAGTTTACAATCGGTCAAGAAGAAGATGAGCATGAAAATGTGATTAACATAGTGTTGAAGCTCAAAGTATTTTGCATCGACCGATTCTCAGTGGTTCACGAATTTTCAAGCTATTTCAGACATGGGCTACTTCGCACAGCTACCATTTCGTCATAAAAGCTTTGAAGTTTAAATTCTTTCTAAATAAATTTAAAAAATATCGATTGATTTATTTGTAAACAGCAATCTTGAAAAACATTCTCTCGTCAATTGTTCGTTCGATTACTTTCGGATTTGATGCAAAACATTTAGAAGTTTTTGAGCTTTATCATTTTTCATAATTTTTTAAGCATATTACTTAAATGTTTAAATGTTTAACTTCTTAAAATTGAACATTGTTTTCCAAAAATACTATTTGCTTTAGCTACAGGCAGCGATAAGTTAGTATTGTGTTACACTCGAGCCGCTATACATTGAGATTTTACGTTTTACCTTTGAACGTAATGCTAAAATTTGACCTGCTGGCATTTAATCATTCAAGTAATATGTTGAAAAGTGTATGAAAAATTGAAAAGCTCAAAAGCTTTTCGATGGTTGACATCAAGTTCGAAAGTAATCGGAGAAGCCATTGACGAAATAACATTTTCGCTACTTGCCAGTAAACTAATTGATTTATTTTTTAATTACACGGCAACTACTTCAGAACGACATTAAAATATAAGCTTCATTTTTTCCGGCGTTCAAGCTTTGCTGATGAAACGGTGACTGTTTGAAGTTGCTCGGGCTTGAAATAGCTCGAAAAGCTATATTATTTTCCTTCCCCTTGCCGCTACAGTTTTGCTAATCGATCTAGATGTATCGTTCACGAATCTATCGATGTACAAGATCTTAAGCTTCAACGCTACACATGTCCCATTAGAATGCGATTATTTTTTCGCAACGATATAAGCTTCGAAAGTCAGGCCTCTATTTTTCCTTAAAACCAATAGTAGGTGAAGTCGAGTTTGTCAGGAGTGGGGGGGGGGGGGGGTGAAGAAAAACATTGTTGCGCTGTGGTAAAAAGGACAAGGCGTTTATCCCCAGAAAGCTGCATACTTGAAAAAGTATGCGCTTGTATACAGGTGGCGAGCAAGCAACCAAGCCATACACGTGACAGCCTCAGCCATACGGTTTACTGCTTTGCCGGTGCAGTTTATCGCGCTCGCTAGCTGTCGTTTTCTCTTTCTCCCTCTTTCTCTCACTCGGGCACACGTATGCACGACGGTAAACGATTTGCCGCAACGATTTGCGCGGCAATCCACTTAGCCCCGACGACGGACGTACCGGGCTGTTAATACTTAATAACTTGGACAACGAACAGCAAGTCCCTTCCCACGGCTATGCTCCCGGTTCCCCTAATCACGGGCGCGCACGCCTCCGCTGCTCGAAAGTTTTCGTCGGGGAAGGTCAACGCGCGCCAGCCCGCGAGAGAGAACAACTCCCTTACATTCCCACTTTGCAACTGCCCAACTACTAGTAACGCTACTTCTAACTATCTCGACGAGTCGCTATCTTTGGCCAGCTAACGCTGGGGGACGCGCTCATTTTCGCTGACGAGGGTCGTACCTTCGTACAACTGCGTGCGACCGCCGCTCATTGATCGTCGTTTGCGAGTTACCGAAAACACGCGCAGCTAGCTGTATTCAATCGACATTGCAAATTTGCGACAGGAAAAATCAGTTGATATTTTAAAATTGAAATGAGCATGCTGCGGAGCTCACTTTGGTAGAGCAAAGTCGAGTCGTGTAAACACTTCCGACAATCTCCGGCGTTGTTCAAGTAGCTCCAGGCAGTAAACAGCTTTATTATTCTTCTGGAAACTTCAACATTTGCAGTTTTCGAGAAAGGCGCCGTGGAGCTTTTTTTTTTAACGACGATGCTCCGCGGTGAAGCAGCAGCGTTATAGAAAATATCGATTTCAAATACAAAAACAAGCACGCCAAGATCGCGCGTGGCTGCGATACTCGTTGCCGTGAGCAATAATGGCTAGCAGTGGTTGCCTTTGGTCGTATTACGATGGAGCAAAGAGAGGCAAAAGAGAGGCGGGCGCAAGCACGAGTTCATCGTTGCGTCGTCCCGGGAGGCACATGAGTGCGAGCTGATCGTTTTAGGGATTTTAGAGGAGACGACTTGGCGACGCGGAGCAACGTCTCCTTGCGCGACGAAATGCGTCGGCATCGATTCGCCATCGGCTTCTCTTCCCTCTCGCTGATGATTTCCGCTTGCTTGTTACGCGCGGCGTTGAAGCCCTTACTTTTTACGGCGACCAATCCTCCTGCTCCCCCTCTGCTCATTTGGGCGTAATTAAGAGAGCGCGCCGCGTGCTGGAAATTCGGCAAAGCTCGAGCGCGCGCTAACAGTCAGCCGTACGAGGCTCGTCGGACGGAATTCGCGCTCGCGCCTGCGACCAGTTTTATTATGAGGCAAGGCACGCTGTTCTTTCGTCGGCATTCCCTTTGGCGCGCTGGCCGGCGCGCACTAGTATTATGTGGCCTAGGAATTCGGCTTCGTCGTCGCTCGCCGCGCCGTCGACGATGTTCTTAAATTTCATTCTTCTGCTCTCTTCCGTTCGCTCCGAGTCGCGCGACGTCTGATCTACCGCCAGTCATAAAATGCCAACGATACTCGCGGAAGAGCGCGGCGCCGCTGAATTCGTAATGAGCGCCCCAAGAATTTTTTATTATGCCGCGAATTTTTTCGCTCGCAGTCAGCCAGCGCGCTCCGCAAGAATTTCATTAATGCCGAGCGCCAGATGCAGCGTATATTAAGACGTTTGACGACCCGCAGCTGCTCTTTGTTTCGCGGTATATCGGCTACGTCTCACTCGACCTACTTAGCGGCTGTTCGACAATGAAGCCGTAACTTTGAGCTGTTGCGTAGCCTATCTCCTGCCGACATTCTTCAAATTTCGCCCGCTCTTCCCGCGCCAAGATCCTTCGGGGACGGAGCAGCGAAAATGAATCTCAAGTCGGAATACTTAATCGGACGAAAGTAAGAAGAAAAGGTGAAGGACGCGTCTCGTACGCGTACTCTTCGTCAGACGGTAAGTGCGGAATTGCACGCGCATCTGAGAATTAGAGAGTGGCCGAGTGAAAGGCTCGATCTCTTTCTCTCTCTCTCTCTCTCTTTCTTCCGAGCTAGTGACGAGAGAAGCTCGCCCCATATCTTCAGTGCACCGAATAAAATTGATGTATTCGCGCAAGACACCTAAGGCACGATTCCGCGAACGGATCAAAATTTCAAGCAGCCAGCCCGCGTTAAATTCACTTAATTTGCTTTTAATCGTCTCGACTAAGTGAGCCCTTGATCGAATTATGCGAAATAGCGCGGCAAGGCACCTCACTCTCTCTTCGAAGAGCCGGCAATCTGATTATCGGATCGTTTAAAACTCGGCCATGTGGAAATTCGGAAATCGATGCGAAATGGTAATGATTGAATGAATGATTAAAACACTTGGTAATTTGACGCGCGCACAGATCAAATCTGCTATTCTCGCACCGCATCCAAAAAAGAATCTCTATAATTAACGTGATGGTCTATCAATGACCATTCTCTCGTTTCACATATCCGAATAAACTCTCATTCAATTAAGAAAATGGTGTTGAACTTCTTTCCAAATTAGATTGTAAAATAAACAATATGTCAACCGCTTGCACATGTAGTTTGCAGTCCTTAATGTCGCCTAATCCAATAATTGGCTTTTCATTTGCATCTTAAAATCGTGTCCCCATGGTTAATTTACGTATACCGAGATTAGAGGCGGAGACCAATGGAATGAAATGTCCACGTAGTCTTTTCTTTTTCAACAACAGTAATCTCCTGAAAATCTGTATTGAATTGAAGAGACGTCAACGAACATATCACGCGACAGCCTACGAAGGGGGTGAACGCTCTCTGTTCGTACTCGCTTATCGTACTTGAATCGTGTATCATGGAAATAAAGAGTAAGAAACCTTAGACGAGCTATGGAGAGGCTTATAATAAGCCGATGAAAGGGGCCAACAGTTTATCGATCAGTCAGGTGCAACGTTCCGCGACTGAGAGAGCGAGCGGGAGATTCACGCTGCTACGGGTTCGCTCGCATGCTTAAGCACTTGCGCTTAGACAAATTAATTACTTAATTGATTTCAGCTCTATTCTATTGTTCCCATTAATATTTCACTCGCCTCGCCGACTGGGTGATTCTAACAGAAGATCTACGAGCAGAGTTTGCTGAAGCCGCGAGAGCTTAGAGGGAAAAAGAGCCAGAGAGAGAGAGAGAGAGAGAGAGAGAGAGACAGAGACGACACGGCAAACAGAACCGCGGGCAATAAAGTAGACTAACACGGCGCGAGAGTGAGATTGAGGAGCAAGATACAGAGCTTCGCTCTCATCTTTACCGCATTATCGGCCGTGTTATTTCAGTTAGACCCATCGGATATAGAATGAATCGCGCGACAAGAAAAATACAATTAAAAATCACTCAAAGCGGAGCTTCTTTGGTCAAACAAGGGCTCCCATTCCTGCCTATCCTTTTCCTACAATTCGCACGAAAAATCCGCATAAGTGCGTACGGAAAGGAAATGGCGCACCGAAAGGGAAAGAGCATACAGAGCAAGAGGGAGAGAGGCTCTAATTGATTGTCGGGCTGCAGTTAAGAGGCTGGCGTTTCACCCTCGAGAGGGATAGCCTGCGAGTGAGTAAGCGAGGTGCTAATTGAATCTACCCCGAGTTTTTTATCGTCATACGCGCTCTTTCTCCCCTGGCAATTCGACCATCGCCCAGCACTTTCGACATCTCCATTCGCGCGTAAGTAAGTTCTGATGGGTAGCCAAGCTCGCGAAAGAGGCTTACCCTATTTCCTAATTATTCCTCGGCGAAATGTAAGTGCTGCATAAGAATGACTTCGCCTAAATACGGAGTGATTTATGATGGCACTAGAGCGCAACTGTGTGCTTTTTATATTCAACAGCCCACCGATTTTAAGCACCTCAAAGAATATATAATTAATTTGACGGCGTATTTATTAGTTTTCTCAAATGAGAAAACTCATTTGATGTCCGTAACAGGATGCAAAATCAAATGAACTGTATTCAATTTTGTTCGCGCCGTTTGGGCTCCTTAACGCGGGGACGAGTTTGCTTTTCAATTTTCCCGTTCAGCAGCGAAAATTGTCATTCTCGCACGCACGTCGTGTCGGAAACGAGCTCAAGCTCATAAATAGCCTTGCGATGATTCAAGTGCTACCAATACACACGAAAAAAAAAATGATAGATATAGTTGTTTGTCGGGAACTCCTCGACGCCCAAGAGATAGAAAGTCGAGAAACGTTCTTCTTGATCCGTCCATTTTCCGCGCCACGTAATAAAAAAAGGTTCGGTGCCGGGCGCTCTCAGGTACTCCTCGACCTGCCTGGAGAAAGCCAAATCTTGAGATATCAAATTCCGGTGAGATGTCGTAGTTATTGGCACTTTGCTATGTATTTTTATTCGCTCCGCCGAATTCTCAACGCGTGCTGCCGGTTCGGTCGTCAATAAAGAAGGCTGCTGCCCTGAGTGCCGTGCTCAGGTAGCAGAGTCCGTGTGGCTTAACCGATTTTGGAACGGCGCTTTCCCTTCGCTGCGTTCGATTGAATATCCACGACCAGACCCAAAGGACAAGGGCGTTTCCCCTTGGTTATTTCGCGGAAAATCGTAAGATGCTCGGCTGCCGCTCTTTCTGTTTGTTTGCGTTGTGTCGTGGTACGTTTATCTTTACCGCGTTTCGGTACACGTGTATGTAACTCTGCGACCGACGACGCTTCCACCGAGGGCTGGGCGATAAGCGGCGACTAGTCGATTCGTCTCGATCCACAGGAGCCACGTTGTACGATGCCTGCGTCCAAGCAATTGGTGCTGCGCTTGCTCCGAAAGGCAGCGTCCTGGTAGGACGAGTTACTGTCCGTCTCGAATAAACATTCAAACTTATTCTATTGCGAAGGCAAATCGAGCCTCGCCTTGTGGACGGTAGTTGCTATTTGTTAGCACAAGAACTTCACATTGTATTTTCCTTAGGTGAGTCTAAATGGCTTTTCCTCCCCCTCGTGACTTTTTCCTCTTTGATTTGGTAAGATTAAGGACTAATATTCGTTAGCCAATGGGTTGTTTATTTGCATAAGGCTTTCAATTGCATTTCTATCGTTATTTACTTATCCAGGTTCAAAATATTTATTATCCATTTGCTGCGAGGGTTAATTTATTTATTCGCAATCGAGTTCAAGTTATTTCGAAGTGATGTTTTTTATTGGGAACGGATACGACACTTAACTTCATTAAATATTCAGCAATTTATCTTCATAACTGTATGCTTTTGGAATGAGCTATTTATTCGAGGTGATTAACAAGTAATATGGATGAAATTGAAAGACGATGTTAATTGTTATAACTGTGTTTCAGAACATGGACGTGGCCAAGGCATCCGAGCGTCTGCTGAAACTGGCGGTAAGTTTGGTCCGGAACCAGCAGCACACGGGAAAAATAATGCAACTAGCGAGGTACGCGAGCACACGAGTTGCAGCTGCCGGCAGGCCTTACATTTCAGCAGCGAGCGCGTAGCGCCAAGCTAAAACCTTATATATCTCGGTCTGGCTGGCTCGTCGATCCGGAAGGCGCGCGCAGCGCACACCAGTCAATAGAAATCGAGTTAGCCGGAAGTTTAAAGGTACCGCGAACAACCGCAATGAGATTTCGCAGTTTCCACGTCGTCGCAGGAAAAACAATGTGCCTGCGCGAGAGCAGAGCGCTAATCGCGTTTTCCATCTCTCAAAACCAGCTGGCAAATTAATCCGCGAGCAGCCAATTTATTCGTACGCGCGCTAATTGAAAGCCCCCTCTCTCGCGGATAAGAAAGAACTCGCTTCGCTTCGCCCCGCCAGCTAACGAGCTCCCAACCAGATAATTGAAGACTGCACCTCGCCGCTCAAATTATTCGGACCTTTGAGAATCGCCATCGCGCTAATTGTTGCGATCTCAACGATTATGGGCCATTCGCGCGCTGACTCGCTAATGGCCCGCAGTCGATTCGCCTGATTGGCGGCGGCAATTTCCAGATAATTTTATGGCACTTGCGCGCGCGGCCGCGCGCGCAAAAATCAAACAAATTTATTACCTTGAAAACAACCGTCGTCAACCGAGTTCCATGTCAAAGCAGCATCAAGTCTCGCTTGCGATATTTCAGCAAATAGGCGGTGCGCTCGATTTTTTACCTCGTCACTTCAACAACTCGACGCGGAAACTTGTCGAGTTGCGTGAATATCGCGTGTATTGGCTGCAACGAAGACGCCGAGTTCTCCGATCAGAGTCACGTCGTTGTTGCAATCGATTATATTTCCGCGTTGTCTTTCTTGGTCGGATGCAGCGCGTGAGAGCTGACTCTCTTGCATGCGAGCGACAAAGCCTCTCGAAGGGGCGGTGCGAATAAAATTAGAGCATCTCATTTTCTCGTTCTCGGTAATCTTCTCAATCTCGTTACACACGTCTTCAGTTTGCGCGAATGCAGTTCTCTATGCGTTCGCGCGCGACTGAAAGAGAGAGCACGTGCCGGATAATTTGATTTCTCTTTGAGAAAAGTATGGACTGTAATCATGCTAAGTCGGCCAGGTGGAAAAGTATAATGAGAACTGCTCTCCGCGAAATAGAGCGTCTCATTTCACTCGACGACGACGATTGTCATATCCCGTCGTCCTCGAATGAATGACCTGAGAACTACTCGTTTTCACGGCAAGATTAAAGCAGATTTGATCTCGTTCTAGCTCAATTTCTTCTTTTTTTTTCTCCCCTTCCCCCTCTACCCACGAAATTCTAATTTTACGCGCTGCCGCGTTACGATAAAACATTCACACGTGGAGTGGCGTGAAAAAAAAGAACAATTAGAATACAATATCGAATACTATAATGCTGAGATATGAGATCGCGAGCCATGCTGAATTTTACTGATTACAAATCCGCAGGCTTTATCTCCGGCATGCATGAACTAGCAATTTGATAAGCCTGAATTGTATGTTTTATACGTTGGGAGCGAACAGAATGGTTGAGGATTTTGATACAGCGTCAGTTGGGCAAGAGGCTTTGTGACCAGAGAGAACGCGATGCTCTCGTGTTTTCCGTGCGTATACGACGCTCAAAGCGTACAGCCCTCGTGGAAAGAAGCTCAAAGTTTACCGTTGGCGAGGTTCTTTGTGAGATCGGTATTTGCAGCTGATTCGCTGTTGGGCTTACAACGAAGGGAGGAAACGAAATTAAAACGTCGAGCTACAGAGAGAGAGAGAGAGAGAGAGAGAGAGAGAGAGAGAGAGAGAGCGAACGCAAGTTTTCGCTGCTGTCGCCGACGATGGCCCGCGGCGACTTGACCGCCCCGCGCGTTGCCATTGATATTGCACGCTTTGACATGGATAAAACTTGCGGATTCTCCAGACGCGCCAAGACCAACCGCCTCTCGCTGATTGAGATGCAAAGAGTGACTCTGCCGCTGACGAGACATCGAATGAGGGGAGACCGTAACGAAGGCCGCGCGTGAAAAATTTTTCTCAACTCTCCCGAACTTTTTCTGTACCGATAGCGCTGAATATTCATACGCTGTTATTTGGTCTTTGTTCCGTCTCCGTCTCAGGGCTGGCATGAAAGAGCAGAGATTGGAAAAAGCTACGATAAAGAAAATCGCGTGGGGTCGGAGAAGAGGCAGGCGAGGCTGGACCGCGGGCACAAAGTCGAATTAGAGAATGACTGGATGCGAGAGCGGAAAATTTGCATCCTGTTAACGAGCGCGTCGCCGGGGCTAAGTGATCGATAACGGCTTTTATCCCGAAAACGCGCTCGCCTAGCTCGGTCGGCCCGTAGCCGTGCGCGCGCCTCGACGCGAGCCATTGTCACCGGGGCGCAAACCAACTTTCTTTATCTTCGCAGATACCGAATCACCTGATGTGGCTCTGCTTTTTCTATCTGTCTTTCCACTCTTATCTCAACCTCATGGGCGAGATGCTGCATTTCGCCGATAGAAATTTCTACTGCGACTGGTGGAACGCAAATAACATCGACACTTTCTGGAGGACCTGGAATATGCCCGTCCATCGCTGGGCCGTAAGGTAAATTGAAAATTTTCATTTGTTTTCCGCTGCTGCGTGACACGTACCCCGCGAATATTGAAATGGATGATGGACACGCTCTGACTAATATTTAACTTCGTATATCGAGGTGGCTCGCGATATATCTTTATCGAAAAAATATACTATTTCGATTTTGCCAGTGGACAAACACTTGCCAAAATAAATTGCATAGTAATCGGAAGACAAATATAGTTTTGCGGGGCGCCGATGTTTTCATATTATTGGAAATTTTTTATTTCGTTCGTTTACTGATAAAATACAACAAAATCACTATCCAAAGTTGCTTCGGATATTTTGATTCCATAGATAAATATCGTATTTGCGGATAACATCAGCTTTCACTGAATAGAGCGCTTCAATTTGAAATGTTTTACCAATTCCTGCAAATAAAAATCCATTGGTAGAGAGACTGGCGTGTATACGTAATGATGTGTGTTTCCTGCTTGCACAAGTAGCTTCGAATAAACGATGACCGATGCATAGGGCGAAGCGGACAGCGGCAAACATTTGAGTTGCCGGACCGAGCCTCCTACGTCATTTGATGACAAACACGCTCGGCTCGATATTAATAATCAATAGCTGATTGCGTATCGAGAGCCGTGTCAACACATCTAATTGTATCAATAAACTATTCGTTATCGAAAAACGATTGCACCACTGCAACTTGAAAAATAAAATATCAATTTGATCGCAGATTATATAATAGAGTGCGTTGAGCGTTATTCAATCACTGCTTCATCGAATACCCATCAAACGCACTTTTTTCCAATTTCGCCATAAAAGCTCTGCAAGGCTGTTTGGAAAATAGTGTAGAAATAAACGGAGACTAAAGAAAAGGTAAAAAAAGGAAAGTAGGCTATGAGTTTTTAAAGCAAACCTTTGTCGACTGCCTCTGCAGACAATAGTCAAAAAACTTCATTAGAGAGCGTGTTTCACGAAAAAAGTTCCCATGTTACTTGATGTACCTATAGAGGAGCAGGAGAAAGCGCCGAAGGAAACAACGATTTTCTTCCCGTTGTGCGGTTAATGTGCTCTTCGCCGCATTACGAAAATACTCGATACACGCTGCTTCTCGAGCGCATCTCATTTTAACTCGATGGCCGCGCCGCGTCGGAGTGAAATTGATGTTTCGCGCCCTCATATTTGTTTCGCCGGTGGAACGACGCGGACCCTTGTCAAAACAAACACTTAGTCATTCCGTTATGGCCACTACGCTCGCGTGCTATTCATAAAACACGCTTTATTAATGCGACGCGAAAAATGGGAATTACAGAGTCGGCGCGCGTAAAATACTGCGTTATCGTGGGGCGGGCTAATAAAACCGCGCGGCTGACGATCAGGATGAAGAAAAACAGGCGGGGGAGGCAAGTGGCTTTGTCCGCGGCTATTATTTCACCTGAAACGAGCAGGCCGTTGGCGCGTGAGAGATACGACGAGATACCCGAATTTCGCGCCTCTCGCTCGCTCGCTTTTCCGCGGCTGTCTATTTATTCCTCGAGCTCGCGTGATCAGCGCTACCTGCTATCTCTCGGCCTGCGAAATAGCGTCTCTTTTCAAGTTTGTAATGGGAAAAGCCGATAGGCATCTCCCGCCCTCGGGCGACTCACTTAAGGCTGTTTATCCCAAGGCACACTACGAGATTGTAATATAACGTATGTATTTATGCGGCCGCCTACGGGAGCTTACCTCGCTCTATACGAACGCCCCCCTCTTTTTATTTCTCGGCGTTTAGGCGCGCGCACCCGGGCATGTCCGCGCTCTTTTCAATTATGCACTTCTAACGAAGAGCTCCAGAATGCGGCTGATTCCGTATTTTTTTCTCGTTTAAATGTTAATCTCGGCGGATAGCTCATTTATTTATTCATTAAATTTGGAGATGGCCGACGACTGGGACGATCAGTGGTAGCGCGTGTGGTTTCGAGAAAGAAAATAAGAGGAGGACGGCACGGTCCGCGGCCTACCTGCCCTCTCAGGTGTGAGAAAACAAAATGTAATCTCGGCATTTTTGTTCGTACGCGAGGCGCGAACACGCGGGTTCCTCGGTCTCTTGGCCGCAGGCAGCAAAAAGACGCTTGCAGCTGGTTTATGCGCAGTCGACGAGGACGGCGAAGACGACTCCTTTAAAGTTGCAGGGGGACGCGCGCAAACAACTGTCTGCCAAGGAAATTTAGCACGTGTAAAGAGCGCGGCCGAGGCAACGAGGCAACGGCCAGTCCTTAAATTACCGGCATCCACATTCGCATGCACGTCGCTCGCTTTACGACTCACGCTTCGAATTTTTAAGTATCTCTCCTCTGAAACACGCAGCGCGTCTAGTGTTTGCCCACCGTCTTGTTGTCTTCGCTGTTGCCCTGCAAAGTCCTTGTCGGTCGAGATGCTAATTAAAAAACTCGCCTCTATCCTCTTGCAGACACCTGTACATACCGGTGGTGGAGATGGGCTACAGCAAAACGGTCGCGAGCGTGACGGTCTTCTTTATCAGCGCCTTCTTCCACGAGTACCTTGTTAGCGTACCGCTGAAGACCTTCAAAATCTGGGCGTTCATGGGAATGATGGGCCAGGTAAGTGAGCCTCTTGCCTCGCAGCGCGCACCGGGTTGGTTGGGTCGCGTCCTCGGCGACGCTTGGCTATTCAACGGTTTGCCGGCAAGCTGCCTGGAAAACGCTTTTTCTGCAATAATCTTGCTGCATTAATCATGAAATTTGGCCGTAATTGTTTTGATGCCGGCGCGGTGCGCACATGAATATTCGGCACTATTAGCGTGTCGATGAATATTCAGAAAAGAAGGAAAAGAAAGGTGTCGCTGCTGCGAGGTGAAAGCTCCTCTGCATAAAGAGAAAGCTCGGTTGAAAACGGGCACTGACAAGGCTACCGCGCTCTGCCAACAGATTCCCTTATCGGTGCTGAGCAAGCACGTGGAGAGAAACTGGGGCGCCAGGTGGGGCAACATCGTCGTCTGGGCGAGTCTCATCATTGGCCAGCCACTCTGCATCATGATGTACTACCACGACTACGTGGTCACCCACTATGGCGAGACCCTCCTCGAGGATTACTCGCACGTCTAAGAAGATACACACCGACAGCGAAATAACAAGCAGAGAAGCTGTCGCCGACGCTGTTGCTGCTGCTCTTTTCGCGCAAAATCGAATCACGCGCGAAGAAAGGAATCGCTTTACTCGCGTCGTCTTCTCCGCGTTTGTTTGCTCGTGCGCCTTTTTCTTCTTCTCCCCGTCGCCGCTCGCCACGCCGCGAGAACATTCGATTTCAGACCTAATAGCCCGCGAGTAAATGATTTTTCGTTGTGAATCGCCCAAGTCTCCCGGGATAAATTGATAGAGTGTCGCGTGCTCGTTCTCGCCTTTTGTATTATTTCCCGACTTCCTCCTCCCCCCCCCCCCCCTCTCTACTCCGTCTTTTTTTCGTGTCCCCTTAATACAAAGCGCCGTTCATTCACTGATTGTACTTTTGTATTACCTGTTCAATGCTCAATGACGCGATTCAAAGAGAAGGCACGTCGCGCTTTCACGAGATTTTTCTATGACATTTATTACAATTTGTAAGTGTTTCCTGCAATCACTTGTGTACGTGATATTTATTTACAGTACATTGTTATTCATTTTGATACTACATTTTTAATGCTTTGCACACGACAAGACGACGGGAAGATTCGCTACTCGGAGGGATATATATATATATATATATATATTTTAAAATATCTAGATGTTATTATTTAGAGATTTATAGATTTCCTTTATACTTCGATAAGCAAATGTTTTATCACCGAAATTGCCTTATATTTTTGTTCAACGAAACATGTGATCGCTAATCGCGCGATTTGTAAACGTAGAAATGTACATTCACGTAGAAAAATTGTGCGTGGCAAATTGTAAAAAAAGAGATAATATGACAGCCAACATTTGCCACTAGAATTTAAGAAACTCGAGAGCAACGAGACGCGATGAAGTTACCACAGCGTGTATTTTAGCGGAAGAGATTTAATGCACTCCGTCTTTGTCTCTCTTTCTCTCTTTCTTAATGCTTACGGCTGCCGGTGTTTGTGTACAAAAACATAAACATGTTTATCGTAACTTAGACTTTATATCTAAGAGACATTTGTTCCTCTTTTGTAAATTTTTTACTGAACTTTGTAAATAAACGAAACACGTGCAGGAATGTTCGTAACGTCAACACAAATGTACTCTTGAGGAATAAATAAATGCGGTGCGAATCGCGCCAGACGCGTACACATTTGCATCCGCAGGGAAATTGCGAGGGAAACGAAGTTTGTCTCATCCGTGTCTGGCGTATCGAAGCTAACTGGGTGTTGGGATGAAAGAGGGGCGGGAAGGGGGGGGGGGGTTGAGAATAAAAAGTCTGCAAAGTTTATTTTCTGATCGAGTACGTAAGGAGCTTAAATAAATGTAGGTCTTGTTAAGAATTTGTCTTATTATTTAAAAACGTTTATTCTCTCATTCCTTATTGAAACTCACAATTTTTTCCTGAACACTTGTACAAATAAGTATTTCATTTTGAGTGCAGATTTTCCACTCGACTGAATGATCTACGAGTGAGAATATAGAATAATGGATTGCTGAATGAGCAGATCATTTTTTACAGCTACACATTTTTTACAATACAATCAAGAAAAGTCGAGACCAATAATTGTTAAAAATTCAAACTTATTTTATTACTTCAACTCTCAATAGCTCACAATAGCTCATTTCATTTCAATTAATCGGTTATATTATTTTAAAAAAATGTTACTGCGATTCATTGTTGGAACCTGTAGTCGCTGAATATTTCGTAATTGGATCGCGTTATCTCAGAACGTTTATAAATATTATATTGCTTTGAAAATTGCATTGTCATTTTTTAATTTACTTCTGTCTCGTCGTCTAAAAACGTAATTGGAAACACGTGTAAAATGGTCGAAAATCCAGGTCGAGAACGCGAAAAAACGATTCCCGGAATCGATAGCATCCTAGCGTTTGAAGACCATTAGCATGGCTGGGCGAAAGAAAGACCAGCTTTGCACTTTGAATGCATCGAAAGTGCGTACTATCACAGGCATCTCTGGCGGATACAAAATTCATCTCCTACCGCAGGACTTTCTCGCGCTCGTCGAGCATGAAAGGAGCTACTGCTGCTGCTGCTACTGCTACTGCTGCAAGAGAAGAAGAGGAAGAAGAAGCAGAAAGAAATCTCCGTCTCAGGGGGGTTGCCGAGGAAAACTAATGCTTTTTTAACGTGCCACTCGCGATTTCCAAAGGGTGCTACTGCTGCTGCTTGGTGCGTCAAGGCGATGCTTAAATTAATGATGCGGCCGCCGGGACAGGTGGACATACGTCTGCGTCAGCGCGATGTATGTGGACGAGCCGTCAAGGGGATCCGCTTTACCAAGACGAGAGAGAGAGAGAGAGAACGAAGGATCTTGGCTCTTGATGATCGTCTGACGCTACTTGATGATGTGACTGCTTTGCGTATTTGCACGTATATGTAAGTAGGAATACTAAGATGAGACATTCACAAATAGATCACACTAATCTTTCTATTTTCTACCAATTAAAAATCTGTCGACATTGAAGCACGCGAAATTTCATTTAATGTCTTTCCTAGAATTTACACTTCTAAATATTCTATTGGCCGGGTTGCCAATAATGTAGTTTCAACTGATCATGTTAATTTATTAAGATTATTAGTAATTGATATTTTCAAATGTACATATTATACATCGATCGACAAAATTCAATTAATCTCGAAAATTTTATTTTGAATATAAAATGTCGAATTAAATTATTGATTTTAAATCTATTTCAGACAAAAAATCTTTGTACGTTAGTTCAAATTCATGAAAAAAATGCATTTTTCTGAGGTGTAAAATTTAAAACCTTTCTCTTCGTTGGTGCTTACGGACTTTTTTCCTCTTTCTATTTAAGGTATATATTATCGTAACGGAAAATAATCGCGAATATTAAACAAGTTCGTAGAAACTATTTTTTGCTGGCATTATTATTGCATTATCGGGAAGTAAACTATTACTAAAATTTTTGCTCCAAGTTTTAACTAGTATTCATTAAGATAATTTGATAAGTAATTTTGATAGTAAAAATAAAGAGTTTCAAATTGATAAATTGCATGATTAAAAATATTATCTAAAATTATATAAAAAGAATATTTTTGAAAAGGTTCTCTTAAAAGTCGACTTTTGATCGACGTTATTTGAGCTGATACCGTTAATTTTAGTCTTTTAAAATATCAAATTGAAGTTTTTAAATTTTATCGTTCATATCACATTTCGAAATAATAGACGAATATCAGCTGAAGTCATGAATAAAAAATGATCCGTAATTATAGTGATTTTTTTATTTAGTGTTCAACAATATAAAAATACCGCAAAAGAAGTTTCCGCGAACGGTTATAACGTTTACGAGCATTTTTTTGTCATTATGATACTTTTAGTAGGAGATCTTGCAAAGTAGAACATTTTAACGCATTTTATTTCTGTACATTGAATGGCTTATGTCACATAAATTTCTTCAAAATAACATTCCTATCCAAGTATAAGTACGATCCAATCATTGAATTTAGTTTATAACCAACGAAAATTAGTTTTACTACAGAGTCTAGCCATGTCTCGAAGGAAAGAGTGCAGCATTGTCGCAAGTCTTAAGAACGATCAAGTATCGTTCATTCGACGAGTCTTCCGCCTCGCGTCAAGAAGGAACTACGAGAAATAGTAGGACAGTCGAGTAGCGCTTTATTTTTCGAAAAAATCATCGTTGGTCGTCAAGTGGCAGTGGTATATCGAGCTTGCAAGCGTACACGGTATACAAGAGGCGAAGAAGGGGCGCAGGCAGACAAGCAGACAGCAGCGTGCGGCGGCTATAGAGCGAGCCGAGAGATCGGCGAGACGAGGGAGGGGGGCGCTATAAGGGCGGGTGCGCCGCACGGCCTCCGCAGTGTGCGCCGCGACGCCTCCCCGCGAGCACAGGCTTGCCACGCTCAGCATCACTTCGACAGCACGAGGCTTTGAGTGCGCGATCGTCATTAATTCCGGCTATCGTTGCAATCGTTCGTCGACCGCTAACTGTTGGCTGTGGATTACTCGCTGCTGATCTTTGCGCACGCGGTCCTGCATGGAGATACGGTAGGCGAGCAGTGCTGTCAGGAGACAGGTGGAGGACAATGGCCTAGGGCCGTAGATTTTCCCAGCGAGATATTGGAATCGCAACGAGGTTCGTATATATACAGGCTGTGAGTGCGCGAGGCGTTGAACCCAGGTGTCGACTCTTTCGCTCGCTTGCTCTCTGGGTGAGCGCGGAGATAGGTCAAGTCGCCGGAAAGATGATACGGTTCTCACTCTGCCTCCTTTCCTTGTTGAAATTTCGAGGTGAATATTCACTAGAACCTCTAACTTCGCTTTTCGGATTTCCATATGTCCCGCCACCGATTATTATATCTTCAATTTTTCCTCGGGACATTCCTCTTTCACTCTTCGCACAATTTTTGACTTCTTTCAGTAAAATGACATTGTTGTCATGCAGCAGGTCTTGTTTTGACAAGTTGATTCCGTAAAATCAAGAAAAATTTAGGGCGATCAAACGCACAGACGTCGTTGTAACGAACGTGAAAACATCAGAAGTTAAGCTTTAACAAATCCGTTTTCAACGATGCTCAATGAAAATATCATCATTCTTTATCATTTTTAAAAGGCCCATTTCACGCGACATTTAAAATATTCGTTTTCAAAGGTTACGGCCTCTGTTCATGGCAGAGAAGTTAATTGAGAGCAAGTGTCCCGTGACAAAAACGAGGTGCCTTGTGTGTAAAAGTAATATAACACAATTATTGATTCGTGCTATTCTTCGCTCAGCGCAACTCCTATAAAAAGCAAAGTCTCTCTCTCACTCGTACGCACGCTAGCTTTTTATTTCCTCTCTTTAAAAGTCGCTCTCCTGTAAAATCCATTATTGCATACACTTCTTTATATACGAGCTCGCTAAGAAATAGCTCGCAAGCTGGCCGGCAAAAATGGCAAAACAAAGGCAAAGAAAAAGCAGCTCGCACAAACGTAATCTTGCACTCGGCCAAAGGCACGGGAAAAGCGAATTTCGCACGTGTACGAGTCGATATAATTCTATCAAAACTCCGAACCTCTCGCACTCGCTCTCTCCACGCTCGCGGCAAATTACGTATGGATGGAATACGTCACGGGCCATAAAGTCAACCGACAGCTCTCCCCGGTAACTTCAAATTACGGCCTGGTTAGACAAGCTCCCGCCCGTGAACTTTACGAGATTGACGTACGCGAGCGAAGCTCAGCACGCCCAAACAACTTTTTCTCAGCTCGGCGCAGCACTGAAATTCCTTGTTGGCGCGCGCGGCTCGCAAAAACCAGAGCTTCGTTATCCACCGAGAATTGATTCTCATTAATATGCGGATTTGAGCAGCATCCGCCCCCCCCCCCCGACCTCCACTTTAGCCTCTTCACGGGCTGGGCGCGCTAGCAGGGAAATTAAGTGTCTCTCAGCCGGATGAGATTCCACGATGTCGATCCATCAAACGTCGACTTTGCTGTTGAGTTTATCGCGCCGGCAGCGCATCCGTGACGAGAAAAGGCCTCGGCGTATTGGTTCTCGCCCCAGACTAGTCTCGCTGTCGTGTTATTGTTTGCAAGAAAGTTTCTCTCTTTCATCTTTATTTCGAATCTTGCAGTCTGTGATACTTTGTCCCGACAGCTTTTACAACATTTACTCGCTCACGGCATTCGCATTACGAATAATTATTCTAACTTTTCCTTGACAAATTTCAAAGTCTCCGTGCTCCCTCGTACAATATTTATCAAACAGTGTTCGCTAGATGGCCAGTGCATGGTGCGCTTCTATCGTTTCTCCACAGCAAAAAGCATGAAAAACTATGGTATTATTTCTGTGCATGTAGCATTCGACAGACGGCCTACAATTATTACAATGAGTAGTCGCAAATAATGGACGACTGGCGCACGCAACAGATGGAGCTAGAGCATGAATTAACAAAAAGAAAAAAGTGCGCGTATCAAGATAAAAGTTGCTTGGAGTGAAAAAAGAACGGGCAGACAGAGGTAGATTGGATGGAACAACAAACGTTGAGAGAAAGGCATTGGGGGTTGCAATGATTCTCTGCGAAAGATAAAAGGAGAGTCGGTGGCAAGCGCGCGGCTGTTTATTCTGTGGCGGTACACGGTTGGATCGGCATTATTGCAGCTGGCCGTTTTCTCGGTCATCCGGTCACTTCGGGACTCTGTGAATTCCCGAAAAACAGGGAGAGCGCGTCGAGCTCCCGGCC